AGACTCTGTCTCAAAAAAAAAAAAAAAAAAAGTTAAGTCCATTAGACATCCCAGTGGAATTGTCCAAAGGACAGTTGGTTACACAATATAAGTCTAGAGGTCAAGTCTCAAGTAATAAATTTAGGATGCATCAGCATTTGGGTGGTATTTGACGAGATGACCGAGGGAGAAAGTGAAAATAGAGAAGAACAGGGACCTAGGACAAGCCTGGGTCTCTCCAACACTACAGGTCCAGCAGAGAAGGAGAACCCAGGAAGGGCGACGAGAAGGAGCAGTCCTTGGGGTCAAAGGAAACCCAGGACAGTGCATTGTCCCAGGCTGAGGAAGGAGGGAGCGGTGAGCACCTGCTATAGTGTGAAGCTTAGTGGGAAGGAATACAGGCACTGGAGTGGGATAGACCCGGGGTTCAATCTTGTCTTCAATCTTCTCTAGCTGTGTAGCCGCCAGAGGAAGCTTCATTTTTCTCACTTGTATATTAGGAATAATGATACCAACTCACAGGGTTGTTATAATAATGAAACAGGGTAATATAAGAAAGTACTTAGCACTGAACCCAGGAAAAAGTAAACACTAAAACAAAAACTTGAACTCATGGCTATCATCATTGTCATCATTATTATTAAATAGAACTCCATATAGCCATCTCCATAATAAATATAGTAGTGAGATTCTTTGTGTCTATTTCTTATAATATCCCCCCATGCCAGCCTATGGGGTAATTCCAAAGCAGAATCTAGGATACAGCATGTGTACAAGGTGGTAAAAACAGTGTAGAATAGAGCTAAAGCTTCTTGATGATTTAATTTGATCCAAGGATGTACTATGGCCCATCCAAAGGAATGGAGGATTTTTATCCCTGTAGGGCAGTTCACTAGCAACCCAGACGAGCTTTATGTGATACACCACTTTGGCCTGGACCTCTCAGGCCCCCTGTGGCCCACATCAACCCATCTAAGTCCTCAGGTACCACAGGGTGTGGCCCTCCTCTGCTGAATGACCAGGCTTTCATATCCTGGATATGGTCAGTGTCTTACACTTAATCATCACCCTCTATATACCAGACAGAAGAAAGTAGAAATTTATGATACCAACTTCCTTGGGGCACTGTTATGGGTTGAATTGTATCCCTCCAAGAAGATATGTTGAAATCCTAACCCCAGTGCCTCAGAATATGACCTTATTTGGAAATAGGACCATTGCTGATACAATTAGTTAAGATAAGGTCATACTGGAGAAGGGTGGGCCCCTAATCCAATATGACCAGTGTCCTAACAAGAAGATGGCCATGTGAAGACAGAGAAACACAGGGAAAGCACCATATGACAAAGGCCGGGACAGGTTATGCAGCAGCAAGCCAAGGAACACCTAAGTGTCAGCAAACCACCAGAAGCTAGGCAGAGGCACGGAAGGATTCCTCAACAGGTTTCAGAGCGAGCACAGCCCTGCTGACACCTGGAGTTTGGATGTCTGGCCTCCAGCACTGTGAGGCAATAAATTTCTACTATTTTAAGCCACCCAGTTTGTGGTACTTTGTTATGGCAAGCCTAGAAAACTAATACAGGCACTTTTCTTCTTTTCTTCTACTATATATCAGTACTAATGAACAAACTGGTGATTTGCTGTCAAAGTTCTAATATGGCCTAACAGCCTTTGTCCCCACCATGAGATAGCTTTTTGTTTGCTTGGCTTTTTGGAGATGAGTTCTTCCTATTTTTCCCAGGCTGGGCTCAAACTCATGACCCTCCTGCCTCAGCCCCCTGAAGAGCTGGGACTATAGGCACACACCACTGTGCCCAGCTAAGACAGCTTTCTGAGTTGAATGTTTCACAAGCTTCTGTTAAAACTCTAGTATTAACAAATGTTTGGATGGTACTCAAACACTGCATGCAACTTTAAAACAAACTGCATTCCTGAGGACACAACTATGGGATTAAATTAATATTTAACAAGATGAATCAATTGAGAGATTTGCAAGGGTGGTTCAGTTTATCAATTAGCATTCTTAGTGACTCTTTTTCTCCAAGATCAAGACATTTGTTCCTTATTAGCCCTATAAATATCTGTTTTGATTAAATTCCAGGGCATAATGTACCATTATCCATTCTGGGAAGACAGAGGATTCCATCCCAGGAAAGCTCATTGTGGTAACAGGCAAAGGAAACAGAGAGGATGTTGGGAAGAATGACAAAAATGAATGGCTAGAAATAACTGCTGTATTAACAACTTATGAAATATTATTGGTATTATATTAATGAAGATGACAGACATCAAAAAGATTGGAATACAACACAATGGAACAATAGTGAGCAGTAGAAAGGGATGGAGGAACACACTACTGATACACACAACATCGGTGAATTGCAAAACATATAATGCTCAGGTCAGAGGAAGAAGTCAGAAACAAAGTGCATACTCTGTGATTCCATTTATAGGATGTTCTAGAACAGGCAAAACTAATCAATAGTGATAACAATTAGAACAGCAGTTGTGTTCTAGGGTGGAGTGGAGAGCAGTTGGGGGCTGACCTGGAAGGGACATGAAGGAGCTTCTGGGAATGAGAAAATATCCCATCTTGATAGAGAAGGAGGTTACACTTGTCAAAACTCATCTACCAGTAGCCTTAGGGGATACGCAGTTCACTATACGTAAGTTATATTTCCATAAAAAAAGTGTTTTATATACTTGAATACAATGGCTTTTAAAACATATGGTCATTATAGAGAATTTGGAAAATTCAAATAAAAATATTAAAACACCCATAACCACCATCTAGAGTAAATAATTTTAATGACATAAAATGTAATATAAACATGTTAGTACAGAGATTAGATACAACATAAGATTAGAGTGAATACATAACTTTTGTATCCTACTTTATCATTTTATTCTAAGTATGTCCCTATACTAAGTGCAAAAAAAAAAAAGCAGAACACAAAACTGTTATTTATGTTCTTACTACTACTATTTAAAAAATAATTTTAGGCCAGGCTAATGGGACTCATGCCTGTAGTCCCAGCACTTTGGGAGGCCAAGGCAGGAGAATCACTTGACACCAGGAGGTCAAGACCAGCCTGGGCAACATAGTAAGACCCTGTCTCTACAAAAAAATTTTTTTTAATTAGCTGGGTGTGGTGGTGCATCCCTGTAGTCCCAGCTTCTCGGGAGGCTGATGCAGAAGGATCAATTGAGCCCAGGGGTTTGAGGCTGCAGTGAGCTATGATCATGCCACTGCACTCCAGCCTGGGTGACAGAGTAAGATTCTGTCTCTACAAAAAAAAAAATAATAATAATATACATATGAGTAAGGTCTAAAATAAAATAATCACAAATAGTTGGGATTTTCAATATTGTGACTGCATAGCATGGTTTTCTTTTCTTTGAAAAATGTCCCTTATTGTCTAATAAATAATAGTCATAATGGAAAAACAGGTTTTTAGGAGGAAAGATGAGAGCAACTAAGGTAATTTCCCTGGAGTGGAAAGCACAGTAAAGACCACGTGGGTACAGTCCTCACGTGTAGGAAAGCTGGGAGCTGCTGAAGGCAGGAAGAGCACTCTGCTAATGTTGCGTCCTCAGAGCCTAGGACCACATCTGGCACAAAGTAAGGACACCATAAACATTCCTGGATAAATATTCTCCATGTCCAGGGAGAGTCAATCAACAAGAAATGGATTTTAAATTAAAGTATAAGAGGTTTGCGGCAGATGTGAATAAACCTTTGTCAGAGATCATGAAGAAAATTCTGGAATGTCCAATGTAAAAAAAATTTTTTGAAGAATGTATTACTATATACGCAGGATAGTTAACTTTGCACATCCATCTTCCTAAAGGAAGGCATCTAGAGGATCTCCAGTTGCTCTCCAGGTATAAGATTTCTCCTATTATTATTCCTTCCCAGAAGACGAGGAGGGGTTGGAATCAGGCGAGTATTGAGAAAGCTGGTTTGGGTGGGGGAAGGAGAGCAGATGGCCAGCCTTAGGTAGAGCCACGTTTGCAGCTAAAAGGCTCAGCTTCCACCTCGGGCGCTGAACTTTACAGAACTCTCAAAGGGATCAGATTCCATGCCTGTCCCAAAGATCAGATAACCAAGTTCTGAGGAGTCGGATCGCAGTGGAAAGCAGGAGGCAGATGACAAGCCCATACAGCTAAGAAACAGCCCTCTTGATGAGCATAAAATGATGGGGCTACACCAAATATCAACAGTGGTCATCTTCTGGGGTAGAACCTCCAGGATTTCTGGTTTTTCCTTTTTAAATGTTCTAAAATAAATATGTAGTGCTTCTGCAAAGAGATAACTATAACTTGTTTCTATATTCTCAGGCTATTAAAAAGATTCAGAGGATGCTCTCTCTGAATCAATTTTTCAGGGTCAAGTTGCTTACTACTGCTGAAAGAAATTAAAATGATGTTTAAAAAAAACCTGCCTTTTCATGTCCTCCTCCCTGTCCCCTCTGTTGAGCAAACAGTGCTTTGTTTAAACTAACAGTCGCTGAGTACACTTCCTGTACCTGTCTGCAGCTGGCAGCAGGTAGGATGAGGCACTCCACAACTTACCATGGCCATGACTCTGTGTCGAGATCGGAGTTCAGTCACCCCAGCAAATGTTCCTCTGTGATAAAAGCAGAGGGAAAATTACAGTGAGGAGGGAAGTGGCATTAAAATCATTAATCAGGGTAACTTGTAGTTTGCACGAAGTTAAGCCATGAGGAAATAACACCCAACTTCATCAAAAGGCCAGCTATTGCTTAGCCAAAGATACAAAGGCCGGGCTAATAATTACAGAGAAACTGTTAAAACAGCCAAGTAGTTTATTAAGCCAACAAAATATTTTCCTACCTGCTCTTCTGTTTGGAGATAACACACTACAGAAACAATTCCTATTTTTTGTTAGGGTGAAGTACCACTACTTGTACTCAAACCAGACATAGATTCTGAACTGCATGCTATAGTGTGGATCAGAAGAAGTGCCGCCTTTGAGAGAAGAGATGATCCAACTGCAGCAGGAGAAAGTACAGCACCCAGTATACACACTGATTGTGTGATGCGTGTGTGTGTGTGTGTGCGTGTGCATGTGTGTGTATTATGACAGCCCGCAACCCAACCAACATTAGAGTGTTTTCATTTCCCAATGGCTATTTTCACTGCCACCATTTTATGGTTAAAGATGCTTCTTCCCTTTAGACTGCAGCCTTACACACGCAATTTTGTCCTCAGTTCTCACACCCACTCCTTCATCAGAAAGACTTGAATCAGGCCGGGCGCAGTGGCTCACACCTGTAATCCTAGCACTCTGGGAGGCCAAGGC